AACAAAGTAGTTTCGCTTTCACAACGAAACACACAGCGTCTCCACAGCATGGCGGCGGCGGCAACAGCGAGAACAAAACTTACGCCTTCTTTTTTTGCGTGAACATTTGGGCGGTGTTATGCAAATCTTTCCACATAGTAAGGTAGATATGTGGGGGCGTGTTAGAACGAGTCGTTTTAGGTAGGCGTGGTTGACTCTTAACTTTTATAAAGAATATCTCTTTGGATTTGAGACTTTAGTGTTTGCAACTTTACAGATCTTCTTTATGCACCAAGAGCTTGTAACACTCCAAAGAGAAAGGAAAAAAAATAAAGTTGCTTCAAAAGGTTCTTCACAGCGATGCCATAGAAGAACCATTTTCGGTTCCACGAAGAACCATTCAGTCAAAGGTTCTTTAAAAACCATCTCTTTCTTACCTTTTTATAATCTGAGGGCTTATAAATTATAAGATTTATAAGTGCATTACCGCCACCTATTTCTCAAATGGACCATTGACACTGCTAATTGAGATTGTAGATAGACTGTCAATGGTCCATTTGAGAGATAGGTGGCGGTAATGCACTTATAAGTCTGCGATCCGCCATAAAGCAAGAAGAAGAAGAAGACGCGTCAAGCGCCGGCTGTCGAGGACGCGCTCAGGACAGTTCAGACATTGCAGTGCATCAGAGGTAAAATAACCCGATATAAATACTGTTCAGTTTCTTGCACAGACCGATCGTTTCGTGTCTTTACACAACAATATGTATCGTCACGAGCCGCAGGGTTTAATTTGGTTTTGTTTGTGAGTTATTTTGGACTCTCAAAGCTGTGATTCCCGTTCACTTCCATTATAAGACTGACAGACTGCAACGGTTTGAGTTAAAAATCTTTGTTTGTGTTCTACTGAAGAAACAAAGTCACCTACATCTTGGATGCCCTGGGGGTAAGCAGATAAACAACAAATTTAAATTTTTGGGTGAACTATCCCTTTAACAATTTTGGCTGTGACAAGCCCATACAGTTCTGATAAATAAAGCAGGAGTTAACGTAAAGTTTTGGTCCTGAATAAAGTGACTGTTTACATTACCTGCGCATACCACTTGGGCTAGGGATTTGCAGGTGGAGTTGTTGTTGTGAATAAAATTGCACATGTTCATATTTCGTACTTTTTCTGAGCAGTACACACTATGGTAAGTGGCAGGTCGATTATTTATCTGAAGTGGTAACTGGGCCTGAATTGGATTTCCACAGCCCAGGTTCCCACAGATCATTTTGGAGTCTTCATTTGTTCTCCAAGTGCTGCTGCAAACCCCTCCACACCTGCCATCTCCGCAGACCTTCACCATTCCCCAGCATTTTTCTCCAAGTGGGTTTTGAAGTGCCACTCGAGGCTCCACGCGCTTTGACCCTACATGTGGCATCAGGAAGAATACAAGCATTTTACACACAGAACTGTTAAAGCTACACTATGTAGCATTTTGCCCTCTAGAAAAATAAAACTACATGCATCTTGCAGAAGATAATACGTTTTCAGGAAATTGAAGTTATATACTACACTCAAAAAAAAAAAGAATTCACTACCCTCAATGACAGTGAAGGACGTTTATACACACAATTTAATTCAGTTAATTCAAAATAAATCTATTTAGTTGGGTCAACACAATTTAAAGGTGGGGTAAGCGATTTCTGGTAGCCAATGTTGACATTTGAAATCACCAAAACAAACACGCCCCTACCCCAAAAGGGTTTCACCCCTATTTTGATAGCTCCGCCCTGCACATACGTACGCAACCCAGGCAACGATTAGTTCTGTGAAACAAAGCAAAACTAAAGTTACACTGTGTCTACACTGGACGCGAGTGGCGCGGCGCGACAAAATACTATGGAACTCATTATAATCAGTGATGCTGTCTACACCATAGATATACAGTATATATATATATATATATATATAATATATACATATCTATGGTCTACACTGGATGCGGCGCGGTACGACACGACAAATCCCTGACAGAAAACTGCTGCTGCGTTCTATTCATGACGTATTGACACAAATTTCAAATAATTTCAACGGTCGCTTTGTTGCGTCCAGTGTACTAGACAGACTTTAGCTGTTGCGGCGCAGACACGGTGTTTTACTCACCTATCGAGAAGAAACAAAGCAAC